TGTAGTAGTGCCTGACACAACAAAGTATAAAAATAATTTACCACAGATTCAAAAATCATTTTCCGGTTACCAGCAGCTGTAGCCAAATGTCATTTAGCGCTTGTTTACATGTACATTATAAAACCGAATTATATGGAATTGACGTAAATTTTGACACTTGTCAGTGTTATCCCCATACATTTTGATTTCTACTCTCTCTGTAGACAAGCGCTAAAGTGGCGTTTGGCTAAAGGCCCTATCCTGTTCACGAATACCGAAATTCGAAGTGAGTACCATTAGCTACTAATATCTTGATCGTTCACTGGTCAACGACTTTTAACAAAAGCACTTTACTTCCTATAGAATCCAAAACCCATGTAAAAAAACCATTAACCACAAAAAAAAAGACATTTCATTCAATCATTCGTCCACACAACCACTAATGTCAACCAAAGGTTAACGGTGTTGCCATAAAAATAAATTAACCTAAATCACGACAAATGTTTTTTTAATAAGGCAACCCAGATTTAGGGGTGGCGTTACACGTCACTCATGGTAAGTAAGGTGTGGGTGTTTTTCCGTGATTTTCGACACGCAACTAAGATTGTATGTTTAATGTAAAGTGTAAAGGTTATGGGGAATGATTGATGGAAATATCAAGGCTTTAATAGTATGGGCTTTCATTATTCAATAGTGTATAATAGACAGGTCTAGGTTGATCGGTAGTTTTGTGTCTATTTTGGCTAATTTAACTTCATAAGAAAGTGTTATTTTCGCTGATGCTTGTGGGTCCCTAATCATTAATGGTTTTTTCATTAAAAACTAGCCGAGCGTTCAAGTAGACTCTATTTATATAATTTTGGTTGTTTATCCAGGTCAACAGCATACCAGACTAACCAAAAAAGGTTAGATTCAACAAAAAAATCCAGAATAAAGAAACGACTCCCTTTTTTCAAATCACCCCTAAAATAAACATCACTTTATACGTATGTAGATACATATATATTATACTTAGATATAATGTGTAAACATATATAACATATTTCGTTTAAAAGCAAACCTATTATGTTTATCAACCATCAGAACTGTCAACTGTACGGAAATCCGAACAAAAACCACTGATATTAAAGCCGACATGAATAAATAAGCCTTCATATAATGCCAACCTTGTTTTTTCGTTACCATAGCAACGCAGTAACCACAAACAAATGTATTACTTCGATTAAATGTGGACTTTATTCCATGGTATCAAGGTGGGTTTTTATTTGAATGGAATTTTAAAACCTAATTACTTGGCATTATGTGAATCAGAATAATTTATAGGTTATGTTAGAAAATGGATTGAAGTTATGTGTGTAGGAATTATAGATAGTTTTTAATATACCTACATTTTTAAAGAATAATGTCGTTTGAAAACTAATGTGTTGTGTTGAAAAATTAATAAATATGGATTTTTTAAAGTTAGTTCAGTTTGGTTTTTATTTTGTTTTCGAAAGTCTATGTTTAGATAATATAATTTGACTTCTGCTTATCCTTTTGGTCGTGATGTTATGCTAAAGTAAGTACATTACTTTTAAACGATAGTTAATTGTGCACAATGCCTATTTTGAAAAACATATTAAAATAAACTTAGGTATTTGTCTTGGTACAAATATTATTAAAAAAATGTTGCTATTTACAAAAAGAGTTTTCTGCCGAAACCCGGGATTGAACCGGGGACCTTTAGATCTTCAGTCTAACGCTCTCCCAACTGAGCTATTTCGGCTATGCATGTAATCACTAAATTAAGAACCTAGTTTTATCTACCTACCTACTGATAATTGTATGTGTTGATAATAACAATTAATTATTTGTTGTTGTGATAATTATAGATTTGTTTTATTTTTATAACTAGCTTTTACCCGCGGCTTCGCTCGCGTCACAAAAGGATAAAAGTAGCCTATACCAATACACACAGCGCCATCTATACCAATTCTTTTGTTTTCCCTCGGGAATACCAAAATTTTCGGGATAAAAAGTACCCTATATCCGTACTTCTAATTTTATGTCTGCAAAAATTCAAAGAAATCGGTTTAGAAGTTACGGCGTGAAACCGGAACAAATAAACTCACTTTCCCATTTATAATACATAGTACCTAAGGATTAACTTTGCACATACGACTTCGACCACGTGGTTAAAACATCACATGAGCGTTAGTTGTCAAATTGCATTAAAAACTTATTTCTACAAAATATTATCTAATGCCATTTACACTGTCATTTGTTTTTTTTTTCAATCTCGTCTTCAATATTCCATTATTCAAAAATAACTTCAATATACAATGGCACCCTCTTCACCCCCTCTCCCTAAATCAACCCCCCATACTTTATATAATTTAATGGCATGATGACTCATCAATTTTATAAGAACGAGCGTTTTACGTAGTAATACTTATTTATAAACTTAATGAAAGTGAAGGTAATAATAAAAGTATTGATTATTTCTAGTATTTTCTATGTAATTGTCATTTTTTATGACACAAAAGGGTAGATGCCTAATTTTTATTTTAATGCCCATCTGGTAGTATATTTTAAATCATTAGACACATATTTTTTTTTTTTATACTGAAACGAATACTTTTGACGATATATTGATTTGAAATGTCGCGTGACGTCACTTCTATGTACATTTTATACGTAGAAATGACGTTTTAGCCCTCACTACTAAACTTTGATTCGTTATATCAAAGTATTGTTTTATTATACGACAAAATAAAAAAATACGTGTCTAATATTTTTTCATTACCTAACTTACGGACTAATTAGATTTTTAATTTTTATACCCTGTCATTATCAGAATTTATAGATATTTTTATTAAATGGCGAGTCAAATTCTCAACAACCATCGGTGTCTTGAATTACCTATCGTGGATTTTCAATATACAATATTTTAGTGCTTCACACTAGGATTTTCTCCTGTGTCGTGGGTGCGTTTACAAACATACAAACTCACATACACCCAGACCCGAAACAACAATTTGTGGATCACACAAAGTGTTGTTCCGTGCGGGAATCGAACCAGCAGCACGCTGCACGGCAGCCGGTTGCCCAGCCACCGCACCATTCGTGCAGTCAACAGTTAGTTGTTACAAAACTGACACAGTACAGTAGCAGCGCGACGTGTCTCGCGATTTGTTACTCATCAATATGAGCCTCTAGTATAGCTTGAAACTAGTCGAGTTCCTCGTCAAACAGTTACGTGGATAAGCCAAAAACATAATAAGTAATTTAGTATGTCTCACGACAGTTATAAATATAGTACAGTTATTATTATACACAAACATAACATCACGCCTTTTATCCCCAAAGGGGTAGGCAGATTACGGCACTTAATGCCACTGTACAATGTAACACCCACTTTTCACTATTTATGTTGTGAGTCCCATGTAATAGGGGGTGAGCCTATTGCCATATACCGGACACAATTCCAGACTCCGTGCTACTACTGAGAATTTTTAAAGACCCAGTAATACTTTGCCCGACCCGGGAATCAAACCCGAGACCCCTTGCCCGGCAGTCGCACTTGCGACCACTCGGCCAACGAGGCAGTCAGAGTTATTATTATACCTTTTTTGATAACCATTCAAAGCCACCTACTAAAACGACCCTCACAATTTATTCAGCGCCTATAAGAGGCACGGGATCCTCTCAACAGATCAGCTTCGGAACCTACTATCCTTTCTCTCTTGAGCTAGAAATTATACAGCATACAAAATCGAATATTAACTATGAATATTTTGAGATATACAAATGGCTTGACTTAATTTGACATTAATGACTATGTAGACACGCTCTCATACATATTTATGTGAGAAACTCATAAATTATATGAAATATCAGTCGTTTCGTATTGTTTAATATGTTGGGTATCGTTGTGGTCGTGGTCGTCATTATGGTCGTGGTGTCCCGAAGGTTTAAGAACCCCGCTACTCATGCACGAGGGTGCTGGTTCTAAACCTACCAACAGCAAGTACCAATGTGACCTTTCCCGAGTTACTTATAATGTACTTTCTAAGATTATTTAGACACCACTGAGAAACGGTGAAGGAAAACATCGTGAGGCAACCTGGGCTTTTAATTTCTAATTATAAGTTTGAAATCGCCAACCCGTATTGAGCAAGCGTGGTGATTAATGCTCGAAACTTCTCCGTTCGAGAAGAGGTCTTTTGTTAGCAGTGGGCACTTATAGGCTGTTGAAGATGAGTGTATTGAGTAAATAATGTAGATATGTATGTATATGATGTATCCTTACTATCCTTACAAATATTATAAATCGGAAAGTGAGTTTGTTAGTTTGTTCCGCTTTCACGCCGTAACTACTAAACCGATTGCTTTGAATTTTTGCAGACGTAAAGTTAGAAGTCCGGTTTAAATAATAGGGTACTTTTATTCCGGAAAAATTGATATTCCCGAGGGAAAACAAAAGTATTGGTATAGATGGCGCTGTGTGTATTGGTATATGTCACATAGGCTACGTTTTATCCTTTTGTGACGCAAGCGAAGCCGCGGGCAAAAGCTAGTATGATAATAATTGCTGGTTTATTAATTGACTTGTTGGTTGTAAGTTGTAAAGATGTGTATCAGTTATACATAACCACGGTAATACAATATCACCTAGTAAAAAGATGTCGGGTTTCGATTTATTTTGTGATGGAAAAATGTGGATATTAGTAGTGTGGTAGACTATTTCATAGTCGCGGAGAACCTAACGGGTTACCGGGGCTCCGGCTCGTCGTGCAGGAGAAGGAACGGGGTGGTTTTTATTCAGTAAGAGACTGACACTCCCTCCCGCCTTACCCAGGCGGGAGCAGTCATTCGATGATTTTCCCCCTTAAAAAAATACTATTTCAGAGATCGGTCTACATTGGTTTCTTTATAGGTAAAATGGTTGCGTGACAAGCCAAGATAGTCCTATTAACAATTTTATTTTCAACTATGAAAATGAAGATTTTTATTCTTATATCTGTATTTTTTTGTTACAGATCATACACAACAAGACCATAAAGAAGTCACACATGAGGTAAGCAGTAATACACAGTACATACAACTAAATGGTAATAACTTGTTATTAGGTATAGAATCTTTCTGTTTAAGTATTTTTTCATTATACTCTTTTTGAGCTTGATGCACTTAAGAAGATCATTATTGACCATTTAAACTGTCAAACACCGAGCGGTCACCGTTGACCGCAACCTATTGTTCTTTAATTGTGTCTATAAATACGGTACTCGACGAGTTAACATACCATTTGTGGTATATTCTGAAACTGCAAAGTACCTTCCAAAGGCTAGACTATATGGTTGGCGCGGTGGCTGGGCAACCGGCGGCCACGCATCGTGTCGCGGGTTCGATTCCCGCATCGAACAACTCTTTGTGTGATACACAGATTGTTGTTCCGAGTCTGGTTGTCATGTGTATGTAAAATTGTATGTTTGTATGCGCACTCACGATACAGGAGACAATTCTAGTGTGAGGCAACGTTTTGTTTTTTTAATAAAGGTCAGCAGTATCCTCAAAATATTTGGCACCCTAAGCCCTATCATCAAGTCATCTACCATGTGTAGTGATCATAATAAACCGTTTTCTTAAAAAGGAAGGCCTTATTTCAGCAATAAGTAGACATATCAAAAAGATGACTATTATCATATACCATACATTTCGACAAAATAGGTCGCATTGATAAAATTGTTTTTAAACCCAAACGTACAATAAACTTTTGGCATTCAACATCGTTGTCAACGCAACCGCGACCGTTTACATTAATGGGTAAGCAGAAATAGGAGTGTTTTGTCCCAATTGTGTGCTCAGTGGAATGATACGGATGTTGTGGTTACCCACTGAGTCTCAGTAACCGTAACTAACTGCTGATAGCGACGCGTTTAGGCATTTTAGTTGGTGACAATCCGTTAGGCGTACTGTATCTGCAAAATTATGTGCGATATCTTGACAATATCTTGAATATGAGAAGGCTACAGGTTTAAGTATAATACACTAGTTAGTTGGTTGCACCTGTTCTGCTCGGTTCCTATTGATCGTAGCGTGATGTTTAGTAGCCTATAACGTTTCTCGATAAATGGAATATCCAACACAGAAAGAATTATTGACATCGGACTGTTAGCTACGGAGATAAGCGCGTTCAAACAAAGAAACAAACAAATAGACTCTTCTAGACTCTGCTTTATACAGTAGTATGTAAGATATAAAATTAATTGCATCTACAGGTATCAAGGAGATATCGAATTACTTGGATTTGAGGTCTTGAATCATATCCCTACCTTTAGGTGGTACGGTAACATAACATAAAATCACGCCTATTATCCCCGAAGGGGTAGGCAGAGATAGAGAGAGGAGGCTGAGTCTATTGCCATATATCGGGCACAATTCCAGACTCCGCGCTACTACTGAGATATTTTCTAAAAACCCACTAGTTCTTTGCTCGATCCGGAAACCGAACACGAGGCATGCCCAGAGTGCGAATGCACTTGCGACCACTTGGCCAACGAGGTGAAGCCGTCAGTGGTGCGATGTCAGGACAATTATATTCGACAAGAAAAAACGAATGGAAAAATAATACCTTTGCCCTGTTATAAACGGTTTCACCTGACTTCTTTTAGTAGTCATACCATATCATCACGTCTTTTAATCTAACGTAATAATGCTCTAAGTCTTATAGTTAATGTGAACCAGTCTAGCGAAACAACATTTTCTACTAATAACGCAGTGAAAAGACCGACCAGAAGACGTAAGAAGATTCTTTATAGAACTGCACACTGAAGAACAGACCACGTTGAGCCTTGGCACTGGGAGAATTCACAGGAGTTCTGAATATACCCGTGAATTTCCTGATGCCTTAGCTTAATGCGGTCTCTTACAGCCAAGAACGTAAGAAGAAGACCAAAGAAGAAATAGAAGAATTAAGAATATTGCTGTTATTTGTCGTATAATTATGTTGTATGTCATATCTATATAAATATGATAAAATAATTAGATATGTAATGAAATTGGTATATTGTTACATGCACAATAGGGTAGTAAATTTTATTTTAATGTCCGTCTGGTATATTAATTTAAGACATTAGACACATATTTTTTCTTTTCTCACAAAATTAAATACTTTCGATGATATATTAATCTGAAATATCGTGTGACATCACTGTGCCCTACATTTTGTAGCACTTTGTGACGTAACGACCTCTCACTCCTAAACTTAACTCTATTCTATCTAAGTATTGTAACTTAAAACTATGTAACTAGAGAATTGTATTGTGAATCTGATTGAAAACGAGTATCCTATGGAGTTTCTTGCCCTTTCATCTCCATGGCAATCCACACCTTGGAATAAGCAAAAACCTTCACTTTTAATATATATTTTTTTTGACGTTCAAAAGTGCCTTCCAGGTCTAATTGAAATAAATGATTTTGACTTTGACTTTGCATAATCCACCGAAAATTTATTAAGACAAAAATGTAGACAAAAATTTACTAAAAACTGAATGTAACAAACGTAATTCAATTACCTAATTACTTTGTAATTGTAATTAACTGTCTCGTCGCTGCAACGTGAGGTAGATGCTAGGTACCTAATAGCTTGTAATTAACACGATATAATTACAAAAGTATGAGAAAACACATTATGTATGGAATGTATGAATGTCAGTTGTAATTATTATGAATGTTACATTTCATATAATGTGTAGAGAAGGTCTTTTTACATTATTATGTATTATGATATAACGTTTTGGTTGTTTTTACCGAACGGGTAAACAAATGACATGAATCACGCCTTTTATCCCTGAAGAGGTAGGTAGCACTTAATGCCACTGTACTATGTCACACCTACTTTTCACTATTACTTATGTCATGAGTCCCATGTAATAGGGGGTGAGCCTACCGAGCATACCGGGCACAATTCCAGACTCCGTGCTATTACTGAGAATTTTTAAAAAACTCATTACTCCCGACCTGGGAATTGAACTCGAAACCACTTGCCCGGCAGTCGCACTCACGACCACTCGGCCAACGAGGCAGTATTATATCAAATATTAAACATGTAAAACATTTAAGTAAGTATATTGATTCTATACTACCGAGATAAATAATTTCTCACGTATGAGCTTCATAGTTATCTAATTATATGAACCAACAATAGTAGTAAGATAGTAATACATTATGTCAGCTATATATCAAGCTATGCTAAACCAGTATAAAATGGCCGTTGAATGTAGGGAAAGATAATATGAAGAGAGACCATGATGAACTGGAAACATATGTTTTATGTGCATCCGTATATACCATTACGGCTATACAAATTAGCCGTATATATTGACATTCTGTGGGACTCTGTGTGTAGCAAATTGTCCCAAGATATATGGATTCACTTCCTATCTCATTGTTTAGAAGAGACTTGGAGGTTTTGGTCTAAGTTATGAAAATTGAGGGATACATGACATTTTATTACAATACCACATTTTTCCTCGAAGAGTTAAAAGGAATCACCCACTTTTCACCAGCTATGAACTCTATTATAATAAAGTGGTCAAAATTTTGTCGCAAACTAGAAACAACTTCAGATTTAATCCCATTTGTTTCTACAAACTGTTACAAAATCTTACATATCTCAAAAATACTTTCCACTTCAATACAATTAATATATATAAATATAAATACACTAGTTTCTGCCCGCGACTTCGTACACGCAATCCCGTTTCTCCCATTCCCGTAGTATTTTCAGGACTTTTTTCTGACATAAAAACCTTCTCCTGACGACAAAAAACACAACAAAAAGAAATCAGCCAAATCGGTCTAGCCGTTCTCGAGCTATGGTGTGACAACGGGAAACAGGTTTCATTTTTATATTTATAAGATTGTTATAATTTTAAGGAACATTTTTAATTGTTTTTTTTCTGTGATAATATTATAAGTAATTTATTTGGATTCTATTTTGCTCTACTTTATGTTACCGTGCCCTAACCGGGTTTCATGTTGAAACTGTACCCAATTATGTAACACCTATTTATTGTACACATGATATAATATAATGCACTAAAAATTGAATTTGATTAAAAAAAAATGTAGATTAGAAGATAAAATTGACAAAATCAAACAAAAATATCGGATCATGCAACACAATATGAGCTTTGCCTGACAATGAAGTCTAAAACAATCAGGGGTTTGAACCCTACTATAATATGTATACAAACAGTCGAAGAACTAAATGATATGAACCTAAACTCTTTATTAATTTGTAACTAAACAATATCGCATCATCTGGTGGATTGCACCACGCTAAACGAGAGATGATACAGTTACTCACGAAGTGATTGTTACCCCATACAACGCTAATCGCCGGTTAGCTTCTGTAATCCATATGTAACAGATGATCTAACGTTATTGCTAACGGATGGTTATTGTGTGGTTTTTGTGTGCTGTGGTGTCGACCGCCCGGAAACATTTTGTTTTGTAGTTGAAGTAGATCGGAAGAATTTCTTTAGTCTTTATAGGTGTTTAGCTATTGTGTATTATTGATTGCTGTGATTGTTATGAATGGGAATAAGTTTCCATGTTTTGTGTTTTAGTTTAATTTCAAGCTACTTATCTTGTACGTAGGCCTTTTTTTAAAGGAGAGAGAATCAGCAAATGACTTCAGGGGGGAGTCGAGAGGGAGTGTTAGACTCTTACCGACTACCTCAAAGAGCCATCAGACCACCACAGATGACGCTCAATAGGGCTAATGCCGATACGGGGTTCCCATCTCAAAAAAAAGACTTACTGATTATATACCACCCCGTTCTTACTCCTGCACTTCGAGCCGGAGCCCCGGCAACAAGTTAAATGTAGATAGGCCACCGTGGAAGAGAGGCCTGAAAAAATGATTTCTTTAACAGAGGCAGTAACTGAATCAAAATTGATTCAGATATATAAGATTCAGATATTTTATATTCAGATATTCAGATATATAAAGTGGATTACAAACAGAAATAAAATGAGAATAAAAATTGCAAAATTAAGTGCGTCGGTGCC